AGGTGTGGTAGCTTAGTTGTGCCCCCCAGTAGGTAAATTAATTCACTTTCTACCTTCATCCATCAGGAGGCGCCGTGCTGTGCAGCACAAGGGTCTCAGCCTTTGGGCTGGGTGGATGTAAATTTATTGTATGTTCCCAGCATTTGTGGTTGTGTTTATTTGTCACATCTAAGTAAAATTCTGTTGTGACAAAAGCTGGTGTTGGGGTTGCTTTCCTCGTTCGTGACTTCACTGTATCCTGGGGAGCCCTCCCCGGTACACGGCTTACACTGGCGGCCCTCCAGCTGTTGAGGCATTGCAAGATTGACAGTTACAAGCATGACTCCAAAAGGCAGAGGCATGATGGGACTTGTAGTTTTTCAACAGCTGGCGGGCCACCAGTTTGACACCCCTGTTCTAGGACATCTTACCGGAGGAAGCAAGCTCAGATGTGCTTCTCATTGGTCAGGACTTTCATGTGGATGCACTAACCCAGGGGTGGAAAACTGACCCTCCCGCTGTTGCAGAACTAAAAGTCCCATCATGCCTGTGAGAGTCATGCTTGTAACGGTCAGCCATGCATGCCTCATGGGACTTGTAGTTCCGCAACAGCTGGAGGGCCGCCAGTTTTGACACCCGTGCAACTAGCCCATGAGCGCGTGCCATTGCGAGTATTAGAATGAATTGTGGTGTATGGTGCACTACACCGGCAGCACGGGACATCACGCCCATTACGTATAGCGGGGTCTGGAGGGGTGGCCAGGACATTTGGAGTCAGTTCACCTTTTCAGACCTCTCTCTCAGGTCCTATTCACCTCCAAATGTTTAGAAGGCCTAGTCTACAACTGCCTGTAATACCAGCTCACCGATAATAACCTCCCCAAGTCCTTACAGTTCTGCTTTTGCCGGCAACACCCCATGGAAATCGGTGCTCCTAAGAACTCAACCCTTAAAACCAACGGCCATCACTCCACGATCATTCTATTAGAGCTTTCTGCTGCCTTTGACATGGCGGACAGCTCAACTTCCTTGGCCTCCAAGACTCGGCTCTTACTTGGCTCTCCCCCTATCCATCTCCATGCAGCTTCGCTGTCCCCTACAACTCCTCTTTCCATGGAGGTCCCCCAAGGCTCGTTTGACCCCTTCTATGTTCTATCTATACTTCCCCTCCCTGTCAACGGATGACTTCCCATACCAACACTATGCTGATGACACCCAACTCGCTCTCACTTCTCCTCTGCTCACCTCATTGGTTCCTCCTCCATCAGTATGGATGTCACACCACTTCCTAAAACTCAATCTTTCCAAAATGTCCTCAATCTTTCCATCAATAACACGACTATCCTCCCCTGTCCTTATACCGGGGTGTTAGATGTAATCATGGGCTCTGACCTCTCCTTTCGGCTCCCCATCAAATCCCCGTCCAAATCTTACCTCCACCACGACATGTCCAAAGGTCAAGACATCAATCCGCTCCCTGGTTCACTCTCACCTCCATTATAAAACTGCCTCCTCCTTGTCCAGCCTCTCCATAGACTATCCCCCCTTCATTCTATCATGAATGTTGCTGCCAGATTCATCCCCCCGTACCATCCGCTCCGTGTCCTCCACCCCTCTCTGCCAATCCCTCCACTGCCCTCCGCTCTGTGTCCTCCACCCCTCTCTGCTCAGTGTCCTCCACCCCTCTCTGCCAATGCCTCCACTGCCCTCGGCTCAGTGTCCTCCATTGCTCTATGCCAATCACTTCCTTGACCTCCGCTCCGTGTCCTCCACCGCTCTCTGCCAATCCCTCCACTGGCCTCCACTCACCCAATGAATAAAATTCCAAAAATACCCACAACCTACAACTCTGCCCCAACTACATTACCAATCTCATCTCAAAATCACCCAAACCGCGCTCTGTGCTACCTCATTCCGGGATCACCTCCAGGACTACAGCAGAACCTCTGCCATCTTCTAAAACTCTCTACCCTAGTCGGTCCAGAGCCTCATCCATCCACTAGAACCCCATGCCCTAATCTGTCCAGGAGCCTCGCCCATTGTGTGGAACCCCGTACCCTAGTCTTTCCAGAGCCTCTCCCACTTCCCCAGGAACTCCCTGCCTCAACCTGTCCAGAGCCTCTCCTCCCATCCTCTGGAACTCCCTACCCCAAACTGTCCGCCTTTAGGTGAACTCAGAAATTTCACTTGTTCTACTCTTTTAGAAAGACCCCCCCCAATCTCAGTCTCACCGCCTCTGCCTTATACAGATCAGTTACACAAAAAGCAAGAGCTCCACGTACACATTACTAGGGAAGGCAACCTTTTATAACAGCTCAGCACCAGGTATACACCTCTAGAGAGGCGGGGTCAGTAGTGGGCAGGGAGTGTGGCCTCACCTGTTCCCCAATACTTCTCAGCACAGTACACATCTCTATGGAAGAGGCCGGGTCAGGATTGGGTAAGGGGGTGTGGCCCTTCTAATGCTGGGCAGTACTAGGTCTACAGCTCTATGGGGCAGAGTCAGGATAGGGTTACTGCTCAGCACCAAGTAGACATCTTTAAGGGAAAGGCGGGGTCAGGATCATGCAAAGGGGTGGGGGGCGTGGTATTATGGATGCTGGTCAATACCAGCTATTCATCTGGGAAAGGCGGGGTCATGATTAAGGGAGTATGGCCTCCCCTACTGCCCCAATATTGCTTAGTATTCATCTCAACAGGGGAGGTGGAGTGAGGATCAGGCAAGGGACATGTACTTACCTGCTGCCCAATACACCTCTATGAGGAGGTGGGGTCAGGACTGGGTAAGGAGGGGCGTGTCCTCACCTGTTCTCCAGATACATCTCTATGGGTAGGGCAGGTGTCAGGTAAAGGGAGTGTCCTCACCTGCAGCCCAATACATCTCTATGAAGGAGGTGGGGTTAGGACAGGGTAAGGGGGGGGTGTGTCCTCACCTGATTCCCAAATACATCTCTATGGGGGGAGCCAATGTCAGGGTTTGGTAAGGGGTGTGTCCTCACATGTCACCTCGATACTCTTAGGGAGGCGGGGTCAGATAAGGGGCATGTCCTCACCCATGACCCTGATACATCTCTATGGGGAGGCGGGGTTAGGGTTGGTTAGGAGGCATGTCCTCACCTGTTTCCCTGATACATCTCTAATGGGGAAGCAGTGTCAGGGTCGGGTAGGAGCATGTCCTCACCTTTTCCCTCACATACCCCCTTATAGGGGAAGACGGAGTCAGCACTGGGGGCATGTCCTCACCTGTACCCCAATACATCTCTATGGGGGGGGGGGCAGTGTCAGGGTCTGGTAAGGGGTGTGCCCTCACCTGTACCCAAATACATCTCTATGTGGAGAAGAGGTCATGGAAGGGGACGTGTTCTCACTTGTACCCCAATACATCTCTATAGGGAGGTGGGGTCAGGGAAGGGGGCGTCCTCACCTGTTGCCCGTATACACCTCTATAGGGGACAGATTGAGGCGTGTCCTCACCTGTTGCCCCAATACATCTCTATAGGAAGGCGGGGTCAGGACTGAACAAGGGGTGTGTCCTCACCTGTACCCCTAAACAGCTCTATGGGGGAGGCGGGGTCAGGCTCGAGGCATGTCCTCATCTGTTGCCTTGATACATCTCTATAGGGGAGGGCGGGGGTCAGGTAAGGGGGTGCATCGTGTGCTATACCTCTGATACATCTCTATGGAGGAGGCGGGGTCAGGATCAGGTAGGGGGCATGTCCTCACCTGTTGCATTGATACATCTCTATAAAGAGGCGGGGTCATATTCTAGTAAAGGGGCGTGTCCTCATTGGCACCTCAACACATCTTTATGGGGAGGTGATGACAGCACTGGTAAAGGGGGGGCAAGTCCTTAGCTGCCACTGTGATACACCTCTATAAGGGGGGTGGGGTCAGGTCCAAGTAGGGGTGTGCCCGCACCTGTTGCCCCAATACACCTCTATAAGGGGCAGGACTAGGTAAGGGGTGTGTCCTCACCTGTAACCCAAAATATCTCTATGAGGAGAGAAGTTAGGGGAGGCGGGGTTGGGGCGTGTCCTGCTCTGTTGCTCCAACATACCTCTATAGGGGGGAGGGCAGAGTAAAGGCTGGGTAGGGCCGTGTCCTCACCTGTTGCCCCAATACATCTCTATAAGTGGGTGGAGTCAGGATTGGGTAAGGGGTGTGTCAACTGTATCCTGACATCTCTATGTAGAGCAGGGTAAGGGTCTGGAGAGGCGAGGTCAGGGTGTGTCCTGTCACCTCCATACACCTCTATAAGGGGGCAGGGTCAGGTAGGGGTGTGACCTCACCTGTTACCCCAATACATCTTTATAAGCGGGCGGGGTCAGAACTGGGTAAGGGGTGTGTCCTCAACTGTACCCCGACACATTTCTGTGGGGTGAGGGTCAAGGGGAGGTGGGGTCAGGGCGTGTCGTGTTGCCCCAATACACCTCTATGGGGGGGCAGGGTAAATACTGGGTAAGGGGTGCATCCTCACCTGTACCCCAATACATCTACATGGGGGAGGTGGGGGTAAGGGTTGGGTAGGGGCGTGTCTGCCCTGTTGCCCCGATACACCTCTATGGGGGCGGGGTCAGGGGTGTGTTCTCACCTGTTGCCCCAATACACCTGGGGGGGGGGGGGGGGGGGGGGGGGGGGAGTGTTCAAGCCTGGTAGGGGCGTGTCCTCTGTTGCCTCCATACACCTCTTTGGGGGGCGGGTCAGGTAGGGGCGTGTCCTCAACTGTTGCCCCAATATACCTCTATGGGGTTGGGGTCAGGCCAGGTAGGGGAGTGTCCTCATCTGTACCCACGTACACTTCTATGGGGGCGGGGGGGTCAGTGAGGGCATGTCCTTACCTGCTGCCCCAAACACCTCTATGGGGGCGGGGTCAGGGCCAGGTAGCAGGCGTGTCCTTACCTGGTGCCCCAATACACCTCTATGGGGTGGGCTTATGGCCGGGTAGGGGCGTGTCCTCACCTGCTGCCCCAATACACCTCTATAGGGGCGGGGTCAGGGCCCGGTAGGGGACGTGTCCTTACCTGTTGCCCCGGATACTGCTCAGCACACACAGGACCAGCTCCAGGTAGGTCCTGATGACGTCAGCCCAGCGCTCGGACAGGTGCGGCTCCCCCTGCTGGTCGGCGGCGGCGGTGGTGGGTGAGGCCCCCCCGGCTCCCGCGCTGCTCTCGGCGCCCACGGCCAGGTAATTGTCGGCGGCGAACTCCACCCGCAGCTCGCGCACGAAGGCGCCGCACCTCCGCAGCAGGAAGTCGAGCCTCGGCCGCTCGGCCAGGGAGAGCCTCAGGCTGAGCCGGAGCTCCGGCCACAGCGCCGGGTAGAACAGACACTCCCGCCAGTGGGAACAGGCCAGGGAGGCCCGGAGCCGGTCCGAGGCCGGCAGGAAGGAGAAGATATGAACCACCAGCTCGCTGGGGAGGGACGAGGCTCCCACATCCCCGCACAGAGCCATCGGAGAGACCCGGAGAGCGCCGCCCGCGGCCTGAACTCCGCTCAGCAGCAACAACAACTCCGGCCCCGGGGGCGGGGCTTACCAGGAACCGTCCACTGCGCCCGAAGGGGGGGAGCTGAGCTGAACCGAGCCGCCCTTCCCGACACGTCACACACCGCCCGCCGCCTTTAGCCAACCGACAACCAAACTTCTACCGCGAACAGCTTCCCAGCGTCCTTACACCTCTTCATAAAACTCTTCACCCCTCTCTTCATACATGGTACGTCCTCAATACGTTGTCGGGCGATACTATTCAACCCTAATGGGGGGCGGTCGCCTTTTTATTTGCTTCTCCGCCAATAGGACTTGCAGACAGCTTACAGTTTCGGGCACAGGAAAGCAAAATAAAATCGTCTGGCTTTAATGATCTCGCCTTAGGGTCCTAAAAGAGACCCGCGCATTTGTTGCCATGGTACGCTCCTGTCATGGCGGTTATCGGCCGGCTGTGGTATTGGGTTGTACTATCGTGTGCCGGAGGGGTGTTATAAGGCGGTGTTTGTGCTCTGTCACACTTGAAATACGTCAAAACGGCTGAGTCTTCGCGTGTCACGGCGTCCAAATACATCATAGTCACGACGTTGCCGCTCCGAAGCATCCGGTGTTCACCGGAATTAAAATATTCCCCCACCCGTTTGTTAATATGGTATAATCCGGGAAGGCAATGAACGGTGAAACTGCGTTGGTAGGTCGTACCATTCCCCGTCCGCATGGGGGCGTGCGCACAGTGTTTATTGAGACGTCAAGAAGCTTTCCTGTAGTGGAGGCTTCGGGGTGGTGAAAACAGGGGGCGTGTCAGCGGGGCTCCCCCATGTGTGGGTGGTGCGGCCCGATACGGCTGCTGCCGCTGCTGATGGGGCCTTTAAAGGGAAACTCTACCATTTTCATTTCTTTATATTTGAGTTGTGTCTTTTTTATTATTTTTATGTATTTATTATTTTCATTGATGTATTTTTTTTTTTCATGTATGTATTTTTTATTTTAATTTATTTGTGTTCACATTTTTTTTCACAATTTGTTTAATTTTATATATGTTTTTTTTTTTCTATTTTATTTATTATTTTTATCAATTAATTTTGTAATTTATTTATTTTATGTGTTTATAAGTTTTTTTTTCTTTATTTTTTAAATTTTTTTCATGGTTCTTTATCTTTTCACTTATTTTTTAAACTTTGATGTATTTTCATGAATTATTTAAATTTTTTATGTGCATTTTTTATTTTATTTAGGTTTTTTTTCTTCATTTTTTCATGTTTTTGTTCTTTTATGTGTGCTTTTTAAATTTTTATGTATTATTTTCATTAACTCATTTTATTTTTTCTGTATGTATTTTGTATTTTATTTATGCATTTTTTGTTTACTTATGTATTATATTATTTCTTTTTTTCCATGTGTTTGTTCACTATTTATCATTTTTATATATGTGTATTTTTTTATTTTTATGGATTAATTTTATTTTTTATTTATGTATTTTTTAATTTTAATTTATGTATTAGTATTTTTATGTTTTTGTTTTCTATTTGTGCTTTTTTTAATTTTTATGTATTTATTATTTTCATTAACTAATTTTATTTTTATGTATGTATTTTTATTTAGTTTTTTTTTTTAAATTTACTTATGTATTATATTATTTCTTTTTTTTTTTTTTCATATGTTTGTTCACTATCTTTTTATATATATATATATATATATATATATATATATATATATATAAAAGATATCACTGTGTTCATTCATGAAACTCTCCCTATAATCCCCCAATACAGAGCTTTACACCCCAACCCCTCAGTACAGAACTCTCCCCACAGGCACTCCTGGTACAGAGCTTCTTTCAAAACACACCCCCAATATAGAGCTCTTCCCCAAATCTCCCAATACAGAGTTCTCCACCTAACCCCCCCCCCCAGTACAGAGTGCTCCCCACAGTTTCCCCTGGTACAGAGCTCCCCTCCAAAACCACCCACAATACACAGCTCTACACCCAACCCACCCCCAGTACAGAGCCCTCCCCACAGACCCCACTGGTACAGAGCTCCCCTCCCAAACTACCCGCAGTTCAGAGCCGTCCCCCCAAACCTCCTCCAGTAAAGAGCTCTCCCCCAAAAACCCTAGAACAGAGCTCTCCCCTTAATGTACCTCCAGTTCAGAGCCCTCCTCCCAAACCTCCTCCAGTACAGAGCTCTTCCCCCAAAACCCCTAGTACAGAGCTCTCCCCCCAATCTACCCACAGTTCAGAGCCCTCCTCCCAAACCTCCTCCAGTACAGAGCTCTTCCCCAAAACCCCTAGTACAGAGCTCTCCCCCCAATCTACCCCACAGTTCAGAGCCCTCCCCCCAAACCACCTCCAGTATAGAGCTCTCCCCCAAAACCCCTAGTACAGAGCTGTTCCCCCAATCTACCAACAGTACAGAGCTCTCCCCCCAAACCTCCCCAGTACAGAGCTCTCCCCCAATCTACCCCAGTTCAGATCTCTCCCCCCAAACCTCCTCCAGTACAGAGCTCTCCCCCAAAACCCCTAGTACAGAGCTCTCCCCCCAAACCTCCTTCATACAGAACAGCCCCACCGAACCCCCTCAGAACAGTGCTTTTCCCCTAAATCCCCCAGTTTTAGAGCCACTCCTCCAAATCCTCCTGGGAGAGAGCTCCTCCCAACCCCTTCCTCCGGTATAGAGCTCACCCCCAAACACCCATGGGAGCTTTCCTGACCAATCCTAATCATACAGAGCACTCCCCCCAAACTGCCCAGGTCAGAGCTTTACCTACCCCCCCCCCTTTATAGAGCCCTCTGCCAACCCTCCCCCCCTTGTACAGAGCTTCCCCATAACCACACTCCCCCAATACTGAGCTCTCCCCCCCAACCTCCCCAGTACAAAGTCCTCACAGGTGCACCCCGGGTACAGAGCTCCCCTCCAAAACCACTCCCAATACACAGCTTTTCACCCAACCCAACCTCACTACAGAGCCCTCCCCACAGACCCCAGTGGTATAGAGCTCCCCTCCCAAACCTTCCCCAGTTCAGAGCCCTCCCCCTAAACCCCCCAGTACAAAGCTCTCCCCCCACCTTCCCCAGTACAGAGCTCTCCCCCAAAACTACCCACAGTACAGAGCTCCCCCCCCCAAACTACTTACAGTACAGAGCTCTCCCCCAAACCTTCCCCAGTACAAAGCTCTCCCCCCAAATCTTCCCCAGTTCAGAGCCCTCCCCCTAAAACCCCTGCAGTACAGAGCTCTCCCCCCAAACCTTCCCCAGTACAGAGGTCTCCCCCCAAACCTTCCCCAATACAGAGCTCTCCCCCCAAACTACCCACAGTACAGAGCTCTCCCCCCAAACTTCCTTCATACAGAACCCCCCCCCCCCAAACCCCCTCAGTACAGTGCTTTCCCCTAAATCCCCCAGTTTAGAGCCTCTCCTCCAAAACCTCCTGGCTCAGAGCTCCTCCCAACCCCTTCCTCCAGTGCAGAGTTCACCCCTAAACACCCATGGGAGCTTTCCTGACCAAATCCTAATCATCATACAGAGCACTCCCCCCAAACTGCCTAGTTCAGAGCTGTCTCCCCCCCCCCCCCCCAGTATAGAGCTCTCTACCAACCCTTCTCCCCCTCCTTGTACAGAGCTCCCCCCAACTACACTTCTCCAATATAGAGCTTTCCCCCAAAATCCCCACCTAGTACAGAAGTCTCGCTCCCAATCTCCTACAGTACAGAGCTCCCCCCCCCCAACCCCCCACCCCAGTACATAGCTCCACCCATCCCTTTACTTACGGAGTACCTGAGAGATGAGCTGCAACGGAAGAGTAGCTTAAATAAATGTAGAAAAATGCTGCCCCAGGCGTGACTTGCAGCAGGTGCCTGGCTGTGACTTTTGGTGTATTATCCAGTGTAGGTGGAATGCAGGGGAGCACAGACACCAACGGCTTCGAATTATGATTGGGAGCTAGAGGAACTGACTCCCAATCATGTGACAGCCAGGCACAGTGGTCATGTGATTGGGCAATACTTCCTGCCCCCCCCCCCGGCTGGAAGGACTTTATTTAATGGATGCCAGGGAAAGTGGGAGGAGGTTACAGTATATCTAAAGGCAAAACTTTTTTTTTCATTTTGGATAGAGCTGGGGAGGATTATAAAAACTGCTTTTTTTTTGGGGGGGGTCGCCATTGGTTTCACATTAGGGAGATTTTCCTTTACTTCCTGCTGCTGGACTGGGGATAACTGGAGGCTGGACTCAACAGGAAGTACAGTGGGCAAAATAATTATTTGATTCCCTGCAGATTTGGCAAGTTTGCCCACTTACAAAGAAATGAAGGGTCTATTATTATTATTATTTTTTTTTTTATCATAGGTGTATTTCAAATGAGAGAGACAGAATATCAACCAAAAAAAACACACAATACAAATGTTATAAACTGAGCTGCAGTTCAGTGAGTAAAATAAGTATTTGATCCCCTACCAACCAACAATGATTCTGGCTCCCACAGACTGGCCATGTGCTCATGTGGTACACAGATCAGTCCGGTCATTGGAAGAAGGCGCTCCTAATGACAACTTGTTATGTGTATAAAAGACACCTGTCCACAGAATCTCATTCTTGGTCACCACCATGGGCAAGACCAAAGAGCTGCCATAGGATGTCAGGGACAAGATGATAGACCTGGAATGGGCTACAAGATCTTCAGCAAGAAGCTTGGTGAGAAGGGGTCAACTGTTGGAGCGATTATTCGCAAATGGAAGAAATGCAAAATACCCATCAATCGTCCACAGTCTGGAGGTCCATGCAAGATTTCGCCTCATGGGGTAAGGATGATCATGAGAAAAGTGAGGGAACTACACGGGGGGGGGCTTGTGAATGATCTCAAGGCAGTTGGGACCACAGTCACCAAACAAACCATTGATAACACAATACACCGCCATGGCATGAAATCCTGCAGCACCTGTAAGGTCCCCCTCCTCAAGAAGGCACATCTGCAGGTCCGTCTTAAGTTTTCCAATGAACATCCAAATGATTCAGAGGATTGGGAGAAAGTGCTGTGGTCAGATGAGACCAAAATTGAGCTCTTTGGCATTAACTCTACTCGTCGTGTCTGGAGGAATAAAAATGCTGACTATGACCCTAAGAATACCATCCCTACAGTCAAGCACGAAGGTGGAAACATTATGCTTTGCGGATGTTTCTTTGCTAAAGGTACAGGCTGACGTTGCCATATTGAGGGGCCAATGGATGGGGCCATGTACTGTAAAATCTTGGATGAGAGCCTTCTTCCCTCAACCAGAACATTGAAGATGGGTCATGGATGGGTCTTCCAGCATGACAATGACCCAAAGCAACAAAGGAGTGGCTCAAGAAGAAGTACATGAAGGTCATGGAGTGGCCTAGCCAGTCTCCAGACCTTACCCTACAGAAAATTTATGGAGGGAGCTGAAACTTTGAGTTACCAAGTGACAGTCAAGAAACCTGAAGGTTTTAGAGAAGATCAGTAAAGAAGAGTGGACCAAAATCCCTCCTGAGATGTCTGCAAACCTGGGAACCAACTACAAGAAATGTCTTACCCAGTGGTGTATTTAGGTTTTGTGCTGCCTTAGGCTACACAGAAATCAGATGCCCCCCCCCCTCCGGGGGAGAGAGCCTGACACCGACCAACACCAGACCCCACCTGACAGTGACCAACAACACCCCTGCCCCATCCCCACCCCCACCCGAGAAAGCCTTCATTAACACCCCAGAGCTCTGGACATCTTCAGGAATGACAGTCAGGCTCTGCATACATCATCAAGCAGCCCCCCTCTCGGATCCAACCTGGTCCCTATGCCACATATGTCCCTTCTTCTGGGGGACAGTGCTGCCCCCCTAAAAAAAAATGCCGCCCTAGGCAAATGTTTGTTTGCCTTGTGGTAAATACGCCCCTGGTCTTACCTCTGTGTTTGCCAACAAGGGTTCCTCCACCAAGTACTTAGTCATGTTTGGCTTGGGGATCAAATACTTATGTTATTCACTGAACTGAAGCTCCATTTGTATCGCGGTTTTTCTAGATTTTTGGCTGATATTCTATCTCTGTCATTTAAAATACATCCATGATGACAATGATAGACCCTTCATTTCTTCGTAAGTGGGCAAACATCTGCAGGGGATCAAATTATTTCCCCCACTGTAAGAAGATATCTTTCTATATGAGGGAAATCCCCTCTTGGACAGCTGTCACTGGCAACATTTCCCAGTTGGAATATTTCCCCTCTAGTTCTATTTGGTGGCAACTCAACCTTTTTGGATCTACCTTCATTCTCATTCCTCATGGACAAATAGAGGAAGCAAATCTCCCTAAGGAGTGAGTTTTCCTAGACATCCTGAAGTTGCATGCAGACCATTCTAGGAAATGGCCACATGGAATGCTGAGCCTCCAAGATTGAAAGGTCTGAAATGCAATGAACAACAGATGGTCAGGCTGGGGAAGAAAGAGCTAGATGATGGTTGACATCCTCCAGCCAGGAAAGGAGGAGGAGCTCTATCTGACTTGTTGCAATTTCTAATGCATATTGTGAGAAGCTCACAGTGTTCAGTGACATCAAAGCAAAACATTTCAGTCCAGGAGAGGAGCCGGTACACCTGTGCAAGACTGAAGGGGAGGAGTCGTACACCTGTGCAAGACTGAAGGGGAGGAGCCAGTACACCTGTGCAAGACTGGAGGGGAGGAGCCAGTACACCTGTGCAAGACTAAAGGGGAGGAGCCGTACCCCTGTGCAAGACTGAAGGGGAGGAGCCGGTACGCCTGTGCAAGACTGAGGGGGAGGAGCCGGTACACCTGTGCAAGACTGAAGGGGAGGAGCCGGTACACCTGTGCAAGACTGGAGGGGAGGAGCCAGCACACCTGTGCAAGACTGGAGGGGAGGAGCCGTTACACATGTGCAAGACGAGAGGAGGAGCCGGTACACCTGTGCAAGACTGAAGGGGAGGAGCCGGGACACCTGTGCAAGACTGAAAGGGAGGAGCCGGGACACCTGTGCAAGACTGAAGGGGAGGAGCCGGCACACCTGTGCAAGACTGGAGGGGAGGAGCCGGCACACCTGTGCAAGACTGGAGGGGAGGAGCCGGTACACCTGTGCAAGACGAGGGGAGGAGCTGGTACACCTGTGCAAGACTGAAGGGGAGGAGCCGGTACACCTGTGCAAGACTGAAGGGGAGGACCTCCTGCAGCCTCTTTTAGGTACTTCCTGTCTTTGTACACTCCAGCATCGGTTAAACATTATTGCATCATTATAACAGGAAGTGCCACAACAAGCATTTTCCTGACAGAATCATGAGGTGCACATTGGTGTGCTACACATGGATGAAAAAACGTAATCAAAGTTGATAGAGAGATACAAAGTAACATTGTTTATAAACATCGATCAGACGGGAGATAGAGAGATACAAAGTAACATTGTTTAAAAACATCGATCAGACGGGAGAAGATACAAAGTAACATTGTTTATAAACATCGATCAGACGGGAGATAGAGAGATACAAAGTAACATTGTTTAAAAACATCGATCAGACGGGAGAGAGATACAAAGTAACATTGTTTAAAAACATCGATCAGACGGGAGATAGATACAAAGTAACATTGTTTATAAACATCGATCAGACGGGAGATAGAGATACAAAGTAGCATTGTTTACAAACATCGATCAGACGGGTGATAGAGATACAAAGTAGCATTGTTTATAAACATCGATCAGACAGGTGATAGAGGGATACAAAGTAACATTGTTTATAAACATCGATCAGACGGATGATAGAGATACGAAGTAGCATTGTTTACAAACATCGATCAGACGAGAGATAGATATACAAAGTAACATTGTTTATAAACCGATCAGATGGGAGATAGAGAGATACAAAGTAACATTGTTTATAAACATCGATCAGACGGGTGATAAAGGGATACAAAGTAACATTGTTTATAAACATCGACCAGACGGGTGATAAAGGGATACAAAGTAACATTTGTCTGATTTCCAGCCTTTTAGCTCGTTTGATGGGAGCCAAAGTTATATATAACACTGTTTTTGTTTCCTACCATGTCCATGTTTGGGCGATGACATCACCCCTTTGTTTACATTTAGTGTCGGGAATCAGAGTTGTCATTTGTGGCGGTGACCGGATCGGCTGGGCTCATGGGTCGGCAGGTTTTTGCCGAGTCGGTGGGCATCACTCATCATGATTGACATAAATCTGCATGGCTGGACAAAGTGATCGATGATGATGGACTTTTTTTTTATTCTGCAATAAAGGACGATCAAAAAGTATGTGTGTTTATTTATACTTTACACTGTATTTGGTGAATGAGTAGGGGTACAATGTACCACATTGAGGGGAGTTGGTAAGCCACATACCCCCCCAAAACCACTGAGCCAGGGTTGTGATGAAGAAGCCCTTTTTTTTATCAACATGGGGACAAGGTGCTTTGGTGTCCCCCATACTGAAGACATGCGGCCTAGTATGGTTCACAAGGGGTCATTCCCTCTGGGCCCATGGCCTTTCCCACTGATCCTGTGGCCCTTTACTCCCATCATGGGGCCCTTTATTATGTTCCCGCAGCAGGAGTCTTTTACATGTGCTGCAGCAGGTCCCCTTTCCTGCCATCTCGAGCCCCCCCCCCCCCCATGGTGATGGAATGCCAGGGCCTGGTTGCAAGTGTGACCTTTGTGACCCTGGTAGTTCCACCACTGCCTCCAACATTAGATGATACCACCTGCACTCAGCTACATACAGAACATCCTTCCACTGAGAACACATTTCCAGGAGGAATCAACCTGCCCCATACAATGGAGATGGATATCCCAGAACAAAGTACAAAATAATCAACAGCATGACGCAGCTTATTCAAACCAGAAAGCTTTATTGAAACAAAGTGCTGATTACAAGTGAATTATTACCTGCTTAGCACTGAAAACTTAAAAAGTATCTAAACCCAAAGACCAATCTAATCTATTGTAGCATAGCAGGCCTTGCCTTCCTCTTTCTGTAGGGGTCCCTCAAGGTTCTGTCCTTGCACCCCTTCTCTTCTCCATCTACACCTCCCCCCTTGGTCACTTGATAAACTCCCATGGCTTCCAGTACCATCTCTATGCTGATGACACAGGAATCTATCTTTCCATTTCTCACCTTCCCCCTTCAGTCTCCTCTCGCATTACTAACCCACTAACTGACATGCACTATTTTGACAAAGGTATTGGACTGCCGGGCTTTCCACGCACATAAACTTTAATGGCCCCCCAGTCTTAGTCCGTAGGGTTCAATATTGAGTTGGCCCCGCCCTTTCCACACACATGAACTTTAATGGCCCCCCAGTCTTAGTCCGTAGGGTTCAATATTGAGTTGGCCCCGCCCTTTCCACGCACATGACCTTTAATGGCCCCCCAGTCTTAGTCCGTAGGGTTCAATATTGAGTTGGCCCCGCCCTTTGCAGCTATAACATCTTCAACTCTTCTGGGAAGGCCGTTCACAAGGTTTAGGAGGGTGTCTATGGGAAGGTTGGACCATTCTTCCAGAAGCACATTTGTCAGGTCATGCACTGATGTCGGGGGAGGAGGCCTGGCTCGCAGTCTCCGCTCTAATTCATCTCAAAGGTGTTCTATGGGGTTGAGGTCAGACTCTGTGCAGGACAGTCAAGTTCCTCCACCCCAAACTGGCTCCTCCATGTCTTTATGGACCTTGCTCTGTGCACTGGGGGACAGTCATGTTGGAACAGGAAGGGGCCATCCCCAAACTCTTCTCACAAAGTTGGGAGCATGAAATAGTCCTTAAGAGTTCCCTTCACTGGAACTAGGGGGCCAAGCCCAACCCCTGAAAAACAACCCCACACCATAATCCCCCCTCCACCAAACTTTACACTTGGCACAATGCAGTCAGGCAAGTACCATTCTCCTGGCCACCGCCAAACCCAGAGACGTCCATCGGATTGCCAGACAGAGGAGCATGATTGGTCACTCCAGAGAACACGCCTCTGCTGCTCTAGAGTCTAGTGGTGGCGTGCTTTACACCATGGCATCCGACGCTTTGCATTGCACTTGGTGATGGAAGGCTTGGATGCAGCTGCTCGGCCATGGAAACCCATTCCATGAAGCTCTCTACGCACTGTTGTTGGGCTCATCTGAAGGCCACACCAAGTTTGGAGGTCTTTAGCTATTGACTCTGCAGACAATTGGTGACTTCTGCGCACTGTGCGCTTCAGCATGCGCTGACCCTGCCCTGTCATGTGACGTGGCCTACCACTTGGTGGCTGTTGTTCCCAGTTGCTTCCACTTTGTTATAATCCCACTAACAGTTGAGCGTGGAATATTTAGTAGCCAGGAAATGTCACGGATGGACTTATTGCACAGGTGGCCACCTATCACGGGACCACTCTTGGAGTCACTGAGCTCCTGAGAGCGACCCATTCTTTCACCAATGTTTGTAGAAGCAGTCTGCATGCCTAGGGGCTTGATTGTATACACCTGTGTCCATGGAGGGGATTGGAACACCTGAATCACATGATTGAGAGGGGATTGGAACACCTGAATCACATGATTGGAAGGCAGGGCCAATACTTTGGGCAATATAGTGTATCAGCATGGATGTCACTCCACTTCCTCAAACTCAATCTTTCCAAAACTGAGCTCATACTATTCCCCCCAGCCCGCGCCCCCTCCCCCGACTTCTCCACCAGGATCATTAAGACAACCATCAGTCCCTCCCCTCATGCCAGGGTTCTAGGTGTAATCCTGGACTCCCATCTGACCTTTCAGCCCCAAAAATCCAATCGCTCCACCCCTCTGTGTCAATCCCTCCACTGGCCTCCACTCAGTGACTTCCACCCATCTCTGCCAATCCCTCCACTGGCCTCCAATCAATGTCCTCCATCTCTCTCTGCCAATCCCTCCACTGGCCTCCAATCAATGTCCTCCACCCCTCTCTGCCAATCCCTCCACTGGCCTCCAATCAATGTCCTCCACCCCTCTCTGCCAATCCCTCCACTGGCCTCCAATCAATGTCCTCCACCCCTCTCTGCCAATCCCTCCACTGGCTTCCTATTGCCCAATGAATAAAATTCAAAACATTAACAATACTGTATAAAGCCATTTATTACTCCTCCCCCAAATACATCACCAATCTTGTCTCCAAATATGATCCAAACCGTCCTCTCTGCTCCTCCCATGACCTCCTGCACTCTAGATTCCTCATCTCCTCTTCCCATGCTTGTCTCCAGGACTTCTCCAGAGCCTCCCCCATCCTCTAGAACTCTCTACCCCAATCTATCCGCCTACTCTGCTCACTTTTAGGTGATCTCTGAAAACTGATCTGTTCAGGGAAGTCTATCCGGCCCTCAGCTAAAAACCAAATCTTCTATTTTTCCCATCAGTCCATCCACCACAGTTATTACCTTTTGTACCACAAGCCCCTCCCTCTTAGATTGTAAGCTCCCAGGATCAGGGCCCTCCTAACCCTCTTGTATTGAACTGTATTTTTGCCGTATTGTCTCTCATTATATTGTACAGTGCTGAGCAAACTGTTGGCGCCATAAATCCTGTATAATAATAATAATAATAATAAAAGGCACCTGTTGCATTTTGTAAATGTATTTAAACTTTTCAATTCATCCACAAGATGTCGCTGTCGCTGCACGTTCAAACACCCAGCAAGCCTAAGCCTCCCTTCCCATTCACAGCTCTATAAATCCATTTCCTCTCCCCCCCCCCTCCCCATCACTTTATTTATTTATTTTTTTATTCTTTAAAATTTGGTCACTGGCTCTTTCAATGTTTACCACGCCGCCGACTCGTCTTTCCTTAGATGGGGGGAAATAAGAGAGCAAATTAGGATACGGGCTTCGCCTGAAATCGCCGAATGGCCGCTGTCGCGGTGTCACTGTTCCTGAGATTCCGTAAAAATTCAAATATTTATGCGGTTGGTGCGCAGCAAAGACTTGGAGGACCGTGGGGAGAAGGTAAATGAAACGATTGAGTGTTCAATTTTAAAGGACACGGCCATTCGAGAGGCTATTAAAGAAGAGGGGGGGGGAGAAATGCTTTGTGTTACAGACTTATTACCATTTTTAAAGGGCAACTCCAACCAAACCGCTAAACATGCAGTTTTCGGAATCCTGTAGACTCCCTCCGGCCTCCCCTTCTGTCTTGCACAGGTGTACCGGCTCCTCCCCTTCAGTCTTGCACAGGTGTACCGGCTCCTCCCCCTCAGTCTTGCACAGGTGTACAAGCTCCTACCCTTCTGTCTTGCACAGGTGTACCGGCTCTTCCCCTTCAGTCTTGCACAGGTGTACCGGCTCCTCCCCTTCTGTCTTGCACAGGTGTACCGGCTCCTCCCCTTCAGCCTTGCACAGGTGTACCGGCTCCTCCCCTTCTGTCTTGCACAGGTGTACCGGCTCCTCCCCTTCAGCCTTGCACAGGTGTACCGGCTCCTCCTCTTCAGTCTTGCACAGGTGTACCGGCTCCTCCCCTTCAGTCTTGCACAGCTGTACAAGCTCCTCCCCTTCAGTCTTGCACAGGTGTACCGGCTCCTCCCCTTCAGTCTTGCACAGGTGTACCGGCTCCTCCCCTTCAGTCTTGTATAGGTGTACCGTCTCCTCCCCTTCAGTCTTGCACAGGTGTACAGGCTCCTCCCCTTCAGTCTTGCACAGGTGTACCGGCTCCTCCCCTTCAGTCTTGCACAAGTGTACCGAATACTCCCCTTCAGTCTTGCACAGGTGTACCGGCTCCTCCCCTTCAGTCTTGTATAGGTGTACCGTCTCCTCCCCTTCAGTCTTGCACAGGTGTACCGGCTCCTCCCCTTCAGTCTTGCACAGGTGTACCGGCTCCTCTCCTGGACTCTGATGTCACTGCACACTGTGAGTTCCTCGCGATGTGCATTAGAAGCTTCAGCAAGTCAGATAGAGCTCTGCCTCATTTCCTGGCTGGAGGAAGCCCAACATCATCTGCTCTTTCCTCCCCAGCCTTGGCCCCACCCCTTTCATTTATTGGATTTCAGTTCTTTCCATCGTGGAGGCTCAGCACCGCAAGTGGACATTACCTATGCAAATACAGCCTGCCTAGGAACGCCCACTCCTCCAGAGTGACACCCACCCATGGTAATTTGGTACTTACATAACTCCTCCCCACTGCTTGTGTCAGAACTGAGGGCTCTTGTGAAGAGCACTGGGGCATATCTTATATTAGACCCACTGATGTCATCACTGGGTCTCTGTGCAATGCAGGCAGATTATGGCTGGTGGGAGGGGCCAGCAGGGAGCTGTACATAGCTTCCTGATAACAGCACAGTTCCCCACCAGCCGTGATCTACCTGAATTGCTGAGAGAAGCAAAGAGACCAAGTGATGACATCATAGGGTCTAATATAAGATATATAACAGAAATGGAAATGTTGCATGTTGATGGGGGGGAGGGGAGGGAGAGGTAACCAAGGAAAGCACAAATACTGTAATGACATGCAGTATATTTGAAATGTATTTTTAAAATATTTTTCATATATTTTGTAATAAAAACGTATTTCAGCATGCAGTGTATATATAGTTATTTTTTTAATATACTGAATACGGCCAAAATTGTAGCATTTCAAATATATGTCAATATATTAGGGAAGAATATTTTTTAAAATATATTTCAAGTATTTTTTCTTCCATGTGGGGAATCCTTCCCGTGTTCTGATGCTCTGAAGGTTTGTGTGGCTTTCAGATGACATTAAGTCAGTGTTTCTCAACTCCAGTCCTCATGGACCCCCAACAGGTCATGTTTTCAGGATTTCCCTCAGATGAAACAGCTGTGGTAATTACTAAGGCAGTGAAACTGATCAAATCACCTGTGCAAAATAATGGAAATCCTGAAAACATGACCTGTTGGGGGTCCATGAGGACTGGAGTTGAGAAACACTGCATTAAGTCACCAAAGTTCTTTCCAGGCAGGGGCGGACTGACCATTTGGAAACTCGGGCACTGCCCGAGGGCCCGGAGTCAGTAGGGGGCCCCATGAGATCCCCTGGTACCTTTTTCATAGGCTTTTTTGAGTTTGGGCAAGGACACAGGGGTCCCATGATCCCCTATTGCCCAGGGGCCCCATGAGTTGTCAGTCTGCCCCTGTTTCCAGGTAATAAAAAACGTTTTTCCATCTATGGCTCACATCCAGCGTGTAACAAAAAGGCGGCAGAGACGGCAAACTCGCAGCGCCGCTGGCGGAGAAGATGGTTGTGGAAGAAGGAGGAATTTACTAAACCTGGAGCGCTCAGAATCTGGCCGCCAATCAGCTTCTGACTTCAGTTTGTTCAATGAATCTTTGGCAATAAAAGCTGGAAGCTGATTGGTTTCTAGGCAGAGCTGCACCGGATATCGCACTCTCCAGTGTTAGTAAATAACTTGTCTATGGTAGAATCCCACGATTGGATGAGATCTCCGGGATGTCTGCTCTCCTGGATTCTTGGTATAGTAGGATTCACGTTTCATGACCTGTGTGGTTTCTGAAGGTCATCTCAAGACAAAGTTTATCTATCGGGAGTTCACTTCCTCAATAGGGAGATTTGTTCTCTGTAGTTGTCCCGGGGAGGACTGTCACTGAAAACAAAGAAAAACTCCAGAATTTGGAGTTTGTCATCAGAAAAGCATTAAAAGAGAATCTTCAAATGGGAACACTTCTGCAATGATTTACCACTCTGGAGAGATTTCCTCCTACTTTTCAAGGGAAAGAAAAGGAGATAAAGGAAAGAGGAAAGGAGATAGAGGAGAGACAAGGAAAGAAGAGGTGAGGAGAAGAGAGGAAAAGGAGAGGAGAAGGAGAGGAAAAGGAGGGGGAGAGGAGAGGAAAAGGAGGGGGAGAGGAAAAGGAGGAGGGGAGGAAAGGAAAAGGAGGGGGAGAGGAGAGGAAAAGGAGGGAGAGAGGAAAAAGAGGAGGAGAGGAGAGGAAAAGGAGAAGATGCAATGAAAAAGGGGAGAAGAGGAGAGGAAAAGGAGGAGGAGATGATGAAAAGAAAGAGGAGGGGAGAGGAAAAGGAGGAGAAGAGGTGAGGAAAAGTAGAAGGAGCTGAGAGGAGGAGGAGAGGAGAGGAAAAGGAGGAGGAGAGGAAATGGAAGAGGAGAAGAGAGGAAAAGGAGGCGGGGAGGAGAGGAAAAGGATTTCAGAGGAGAGGAAAAGGAGGAGGAGAAGAGGAAAAGGAGGAGAAGAGAACAGTAAAATAAGGTCACAGAGGAGAGGAAAAGGAGAGGACATGAAGAGGAGGAGAGGAAAAGGAGGAGGAGCGGAGAGGAAAAGGAGGAGAGGAGAGGAAAAGGAAGAGAGGAGATGAGGAAAAGGAGGAGAGAAGAGGAAAAAGGAGGAGGAGAGGAAAGAAAAACATGGAGGAGAGGAGAGAAAAAGGAGAAGAAGAGATGAGAGGAAAAAGGAAGAGCAGGAGGAGGAGAGGAGAGGAAAAGGAGGAGAAGAGAGGAAAAAGGAGGAGGAGAGGAAAAGGAGGAGAAGAGGAAAAGGAGGAGGAGCAGAGAGGAAAAGGAGGAGGAGAGGAAACGGAGGAGGAGAGGAGCAGGAGGATAGGAGAGGAAAAGGAGGAGAAGAAGAGAGGAAATAGGAGGAGGAGAGGAAAAGGAGGAGAAGAGGCAAGGAAAAGTAGAAGGAGCAGAGAGGATGAGGAAAGGAGAAAAAAAGGGAGGAGGAGGAGAGAGGAAAAGAAGGAGCAGATAAGAGGAGAGGAAAAGGAGGAGAAGAGGAAAAGGAGGAGGAGAAGAGATTAAAAGGAAGAGGGGAGGAGAGGGAAAGGAGGGGCAGAGGAGAGGAAAGTAAAATGAGGAGAGGAAAAGGAGGAGAAGAAAACACTAAAATAAGATGCAGAGGAGAGGAATAGGAGATGAGAGTAAAAGGAAGAGGAGAGGAAAAGGAGGAGGAGAGGAGAGGAAAAAACAGGAGCAGAGGAGAGGAAAAGGAGGAGGAGAGGAGAGCAAAAGGAGAAGGAGAGGAGATGAGAGGAAAAGAAGGAGAGGAGAAAGGAAAGGAAAAAGGAGGAGGAGAGGAGATGAGAGGAAAAGGAGGAGAAGAGGAAAGGGACCGGGGACGGGGGAGGGGCTTTAGCCCTTCTGAGAAGAGCCATAGCTTTGCCTTTCACAGCTGCCCAAAGGCAGAGTCTGGTGTGCTCAGGAATGGTCACCTCTAGGTGTCGTCACTTCTTTGATAATGGATTAGTTTGAAAGCTTCCATGATGACATCACTGGTTGCCAGTCTGAAGGAGTGGGTGTTCCTAATCAGACTCTATTTGCATGCAAACCACCCTAGGTAACGCCCCACATGTAATGCTGAGCCTCCATGATTACAAGAACTGAAATCCAATGAATGAAAGGGGCGGGGCCAGGGACAGTCAGGCTGGGGAGGAAATAAATAGATGATGCTGGACATTCTCCAGCCAGGAAATGAGGTGGAGCTCTATCTGACTTGCTGCAGCTTCAAATCACATTGTAAGAAGCTCACAGTGTGCGTGACATCAGAGGAAGCTGTTTCAGTCCAGGAGAGGAGCCGGTACACCTGTGCAAGACTGGAGGGGAGGAGCCGCTACACCTGTGCAAGACTGAAGGGGAGGAGCCGGCACACCTGTGCAAGACAGAAGGGGAGGAGCAGGTACACCTGTGCAAGACTGGAGGGGAGGAGCCGATAAACCTGTGCAAGGCTGAAGGGGAGGAGCCGGTACACCTGTGCAAGACTGGAGGGGAGGAGCCGGTACACCTGTGCAAGACTGGAGAGGAGGAGCCGGTACACCTGTGCAAGACTAGAGGGGAGGAGCTCCTACACCTGTGCAAGACTGAAGGGGAGGAGCCGGTATACCTGTGCAAGACTGAAGGGGAGGCCGGAGTTTGGGTTTAACAGACTATTTTCTCTTCATACAAATTCAACAACAACAAAAGCAAATTATTCTGAGGACTTGATCCAACTTTTCTGGCACTTCTCCTCCTGACGGTCCCTCATTGTTCTGTGATTTATGATCATCTGACTAAAATAATAAAAGTTACATTCTTCTTGGACAACAAACATTCGTCATTTAATTCTCTTTACAGAAAATCCGAATTAATTAACATTTCCAAACTTCAATCCTTCACATGACCATCAGGCTCTCCCTCCCCTCTCCGCTGTGGATCGCTCTTCAGAACATGGCAGAGCAGCAACTGCCAGCGATTCAAGAGGCGGCACAGCTGCCCCCTCAATGCCTGTTTTTTTTTTTTGGTTGAACGGGGATTTTGGAATGGATAATACTTTGCCGCAACTGAATAGGTAATGCCTGCAAAAGTACACGGCTCAAAAAACTGAAAGGAAGACTTTGAAAACCCATCAGACCTCAATGGGGACTAATCTCCTGCTGGATCTCTATACTGACATGGACGGGGGATGGGTGAGGAACGTAAGGACGCCCCATTGTTTGATGGAAATGAAAATGATCGACCTACAGAGGACTGAATTCACAGAAAAAAATAATGCAGCAGGCGAGTCCATATTGCTGAAATGGTCCTCAGTAGTCTGTGTGGCCCCCGCGTGCTTGCATGCATGCCTGACAATGTCAGGGAAGGCTCCTAATGAGACCACGGATGGTATCCTGGGGGATTTCCTCCCAGATCTGGACCAGGGTATCAATGAGCTCCTGGACAGTCTGAGAGGTGCAACCTGGCGGCATTGGATGGACCGAAACATGATATCCCAAAGGGGTTCTATTGGATTTAGGACAAGCGACTGTGGGGGCCATTCAATGGTATCAATTCCTTCATCCTCCAGGAACTGCCTGCATACTCTCCCCACATGAGGCCGGGCATTGTCCTGCACCAGGAGGAACCCAGGACCCCCTGCACCAGGAGGAACCCAGGACCCACTGCACCAGGAGGAACCCAGGACCCACTGCACCAGGAGGAACCCAGGACTCCATGCACCAGGAGGAACCCAGGACCCACTGCACCAGGAGGAACCCAGGACCTACTGCACCAGGAGGAACCCAGGACCCCCTGCACCAGGAGGAACCCAGGACCCACTGCACCAGGAGGAATGCAGGACCCCCTGTACCAGGAAGAACCCAGGACCCCCTGCACCAGGAGGAACCCAGGACCCACTGCACCAGCGTAGGGTCTGACAGTGGGTCCAAGGATTTCATCTCCATACCTAATGGCAGTCAGGGTGCCATTGTCTAGCCTGTAGAGGTCTGTGCGTCCCTCCATGGATATGCCTCCCCAGACCATCACTGACCCACCACCAGAACGGTCATGCTGAACCATGTTACAGGCAGCAGAACGTTCTCCACGGCTTCTCCAGACCCTTTCATGTCTGTCACATGTGCTCAGGGGGAACCTGCTCTCATCTGTGAAAAGCACAGGGCGCCAGTGGTGGACCTGCCAATTCTGGTGTTCAATGGCCAATGCCAATCCAGCTCTATGGTGCTAGGCAGTGAGCACAAGGCCCACTAGAGGACGTCGGGCCCTCAGGCCACCCTCATGAAGTCTGTTTCTGATTGTTTGGTCAGAGACATTCCCACCAGTGGCCTGCTGGAGGTCATTTTGTAGGGCTCTGGCAGGGCTCATCCTGTTCCTCCTTCCACAAAGGAGCAGATACCGGTCCTACTGATGGGTTAAGGACCTTCTACGGCCCTGTCCAGCTCTCCTAGAGGAACTGCCTGTCTCCTGGAATCTCCTCCATGCTCTTGAGACTGTGCTGGGAGACACAGCAAACCTTCTGGCAATGGGACGTATTGATGTGCCATCCTGGAGGAGTTGGACTGCCTGTGCAACCTCTGTAGGGTCCAGGTATGGCCTCATGCTACCAGTGGTGACACTGACCCTAGCCAAATGCAACACTAGTGAAAAACAGTCAGAAAAGATGAGTAGGGAAAAATGTCACCTGTAAAACCATTCCTGTTTTGGGAGTCATCTCATTGTTGCCCATCTGGTGCACCTGTTGTTAATTTCATGAACACCAAAGTAGCAGAAACTGATGAACAACCCCCTCTGCGACTTACCTGATCAGATCCATATCCCAGGAGTGTCATGGACTCGATACTAGACTCGGATTACAAAGTCTTCCTTTCATTTTTTTTGAGCCGTGTATTTAGATACAGACAACATACATCAGCAACAGCGGGGTGCAATTCACGTGTTGGCCAAGTGGGGCACTACTTCCCCTCCTCCATTAAGCGGCAGATCTCCCGCACAGAATCTATCCCCCGCCACCACCGCTGTTCGGAAATCCACTGGAACAGAACAAGCCGTTTTTTGAAATGCCATTTTTTTTGCCTCTAATCCGGTATTCCGGACATATTTGTACGCGCTCCGTTCTCCGAGTACACCGAGCCCCTCACAATGAAGTTTTCGGCATTATAAATCAGGACATGAATTATGGAGAGGTCTCGCCTGTCACACTTAGCAATATTAAATTAGATTTTTCAATTCCCACTACAACCTGCTTCTGTTCTCCTTAATCATTTTTGTGATAACAGCTGGTATTCAGTCAGATGAAAAAAAAAAAAGGCGATCGCGCTGACGTCCCAGCATCCTTGGCTCCTGTCGTGACTGCGGCATGGATCAGGGAAAAAAAAACGGCGGCGGTTCCAGCTGCCAACATCCTTTATTACAAGGCTGCACATTATTTGTATCTGATGCGGTCACACAAAGTAACACATAGGTAAAAAAAAAAAAAAAGACGCATCTGTGGAGTTCAACCAAAAGCCCCCCCCCCCCCCAAAAAAAACATATTCATTTTGTAACAAGAAATTCCAAATGTAACAATTAGGGCCGGTTCACACTACAGGGATGCAGGGGCGGACTGACCATTCAGCTGCTCGGGCACTGCCCGAGGGCCCAGGGTCAGTAGGGGGCCCCATGAGATGCCGCTGGTACCTTTCATTGTTTTTTTTCATAGGCTTTTTTTTGGGTGTGGGCGAGGACACAGGGGCCCCATGATCCCCTACTGCTCGGGGGCCCCATGAGTGGTCAGTCCGCCCTTGCTGGGATTCACCAAAAAACACACTGGAACGCACATGTCCCTATTTAGGGCCGGTTCACACTCCGTGTGTTTCAGTGCGCTTTTTTTTATGCATTCAAAACGCACAGAAAGTAGGTGATAGGGTTGTCAATGTCATAGTTCACATCAGCGCTTGCAGTTCCGGTGCATTCCGGATGCAGAAAAAAAAAATGAATAGGCTGCATTTTTCCTGCACAGAACTGCACTGGAAAGCGGTAAAAAACGCATCAAAAACGCACTGTAACACACATGTTCCTATATAGGGCCAGTTCACACGACATGCGTTTCAGTGCACTTTTTTTTCTGCATCGAAAACGCACAGAAAGTCGGTGATAGGGTTGTGAATGTCATAGTTCACATCAGCGCTTGCAGTTCCGGTGCATTCCGGTCACAGAAAAAAAAGTAGAGCAGGCTGCATTTTTTCTGCACTGTACTGGAATGTGGTAAAACGCATAAAAAACGCACCAGAACGCACCAAAAAGGCACCAAAAAGGCACTGGAATGCACATGTTCCTATTTAGGGCCAATGCACATGACATACGTTTCAGTGCACTTTTTTTTCTGCATCCAAAACGCACAGAAAGTTGGTGATAGGGTTGTCGGTGTCATAGTTCACATCAGCGCTTGCAGTTCCGGTGCGTTCCAGATGCAGAAAAAAAAATTAGAACAGGCTGCATTTTTTCCTGTACAGAAATGCACTGGAACGCGGTACAACGCATAAAAAATGCACCAAAAATGCACTGGAACGCACATGTCCCTATTTAGGGCCAGGTTACACTACATGCGTTTCAGTGTGCTTTTTTTTTCTGTATCCAAAACGCACAGAAAGTAGGTGATATGGTTGTCAGTGTCATAGTTCACATCAGCGCTCGCAGTTCCGGTGCTTTCCGGTTGCAGGAAAAAAAGTAGAACAGGCTGCATTTTTCCTGCACAGAACTGTACTGGAACGCGCTAAAACGCACCAGAATGTACCATAATGCACAGGGGCGGACTGACAAATCATGGGGCCCCCGGGCAATAGGGGATCATGGGGCCCCTGTAACCTTGCCCACACCCAAAAAAGCCTATGAAAAAAGCCAATGAAAGGTACCAGGCGCATCTCATGGGGCCCCCCTACTGACCCCGGGACCTCGGCAGTGCCCGAGTGCTCGAATGGTCAGTCCGCCCCTGATAATGCACCAAAACGCACCAAAAATGCATTGGAATGCACATGTCCCTATTTAACCCCTGGGTCACATATATGCAGCCGTGCAGGAAGCAGTATGCGTGGACATGAGATCCCGTTCATTTGAATGGACTCCGGTACTCTGGGACACGCAGGGGAGAAGTTCCTGCACTACTTGGGAAATCGCAGCCCTCATGGGAACCTCGGTTCCCGGTACGTTTGCGATTTCCTGTGCGGGCAGCGTGCCGTTAGAATTAATGTCACCCACCCACGGGTCCTGCATTCCTCTGTGCGGGTGGTGCAGCTGCAGGTATTTGTGAGTCCCCCAGCGGCACCACCCGCACAGATGTGCCGCACACACACTATAGAAAAACAGTCCAGATGCGTTCTAAATGCGTTTCTGCATGCACATTTGTGACACATTGTTGGCGTGTTTCGGTGCTTTTTTTCGATGCATTTTTGACGCGTTCCAGTGCGTTTTTTTCCCTCTCTTTTTCTTCAATCTAAATAGGGACGTGCGTTTCAGTGCATTTTTTGGTGTATTTCAGTGCGTTTGGAGCGTTTGTGGTGCGTTTTACCGCCTCCCAGTACAGTTCTGCATGGGTATTTTTTC